TGACCAGGGATTCTTTGGCTGCGGAAAAGCATGAATCGCATGTTAGATTCCTGGCGCGAGAGAATGCCGGTTCTGCCTTGGATCCATTTTTCAGAGGTCTCCACGTCCAACGAGCAGCAAACTACAAACCATAACCCTAGATTTGAGGAAAGCTAAGGAACAAAAACACTGTCCGAGATGTCTGCGGTGATCGAGATCACCGCAGAGCTGTTCCATATATCTGGGATGAGTTCGATCTCCAGCAGTGAAGAACAATATGAATCTAGCTTTCAAGCTTACATCTCGCTCCTTCACCAGCAGCTTTATATCACCCCATGTTGGCTGTAATCTGGACAGCCACTCATTTCTCTACATCACTTTAGTGCCCACAAGATGCCATGCCAAGCTCCATCCAGGCAGGTTTTCAGCTCGTCCCAGAAGATTGACCAATTGACCATGGACACAGTGATCAACAAGGCGAAGAAAGCATATAGCCTTCTTTGACGTAGCAGTCGAGCAGAAGCTTTGCCAATTTCCTCATGCCATTGTAGCATTTGTTTTCTCAAAATTGAATTTTCACCCTTTCAAAAAGCTGGTGCAGCAAATTCATCCATAGATCACTTTTGGGTTAAGGTAGTGAATATAAACCCATTTTGTAACACAGATGAATTGGAAGGGTATAGTGGATGAGTTGCAAGTATTTTTTCCGAGCGAGAAGCACAAGATTAAATGAAACGTTAAAACTACTGTTGAGGACGTGGAACTCGCTCAACAAACGGTCGCAAAAGCCGGTGATGATAAATGGCTGTTCTTCAGGTGGTATGTGTATCCATTAGATGATCTGGCTGTTCCAAAGTTCCTGGAGGATCTAGACAAAAGGATAATCAATCGAAACGAACGAATACAACTTTTGGATCTGTCGAATCTCTATATCTGGCTCCCGCTTGAGGACAACAAGTCTAGCCTCGGCCGCGTAAGCTCAACGAGGGTGGACAGGAAGCAGCTGGAACGCATCGAGGAACTTGACCGCATGCAGGACATTCCGGGTCTTCCTTTCTCTCGTCTCTTTTCCGAGAACAAGGAAGCTTTTGTGAGACATTTGACAGCGGCCGGGGCATTGGAGCAGCGAGTAACCAACGAGATGGTGGGCAGCATGAAAAAGGACTCATACAAGCGACAGGTCCACTTTCTGGTCAGCTATGCCGAGGCAATTGCACGCGCACGGAATGTGCCCATACAAGTCAGTCGGGATTCTGCAAGCGCAGGGAGGCTGTCGCTTGACGGTTTCTTCCGTATAGGTACTTCCAGATCGAACGTCGTGGATCAGAAAACTGAGGAGCCAGGATATCTTTTGAAAGTGGAAGGGGCTCGAGGGCAGCTGGTGGTCACAGGCAATGCGTTGTATCTGGAGCGAACCAAGTACCACGGACTTGATGGAAAGAGCGAGGTGTGTGGTTTCGTTGGGACGGGACTCAGGGTGCAGTGTGTGTATCAAGCACACGAGTACGAGAATCTACCTCAGACAGTAGACGGACCTTTGCTTCCATTGGCGAACGGCAACTACTCTCCTGGCCAGCTTTTCACTATCGACATGGACTTGCCCTGCGTCCAATGGATAGGAGCAATGCTTGACAGGCAAATACTGGAAGAATCAGGATTCAAAGCTAGCGTTTCCAGGGATCCTTTTTCTCGCATAAAGCTCGAGCTGAAAGACAGCAGGGGTTACTCTATAGGCGAACACTTTTTGGAAATTCCGGTGCAAAGCCGAATGGATCAGAAGGTGACGGTTGTCATCCCAGGAATTGCACTATACACAGAGACTAATCTGGTTTTCAGAGTTTCGTGGGGAAGCCGGGTGTGGTGGCTCAAGGTTGGGCCAGACGTGCAACGTCGGGCGGAGGCGCTCTCGACCTTAGAGCCGGAATGGGCGTGGGAGAGATGGTTTCAAACGGAGAGGGATATGTTTTTCAGGGCTCAACTCGGAGACACAGGTGCTTGTCCTGTGACGGTGGAGGCTCAAGGCTTGCAAAACAGGCCAGCGATGCTTGTCAGGGATGCAGGGGTGCCGCTGGAAAAACTTCTGTCCTCCTCCTCCATGACTCCCCCACAAGTTTACGAGATGAGCAAGCAGCTTTATGAAGTGCTGCAATGCTGCGCTCAAAAGGGTGTCTACCACGGGGATGTTTCTCTACAGAACATCTGCTGCAAGGATGGCACCTACAGCTTGATAGACTGGGGCCTTGCATACGGCACGGCATTTTCAAAGTTCGTTGAAGCAGTTGACAGTGCATGGCCTTCTCTGGGTGTCAAGACTGCGATGACTGGGATTCCGAGCTGGGAGTTTTCTTCCCACTGGTACTTCATAGGTACGAGGGCAGATGATATCATCAGCGACTTGGAGAGCCTGCTGTATTGCTGCCTGAAAATTCTTAACGAGAACTCGCTGCCGTGGAGCAAGGCCGCGGAGAGTGGGAGCGATGACAAGGTTCTCGAACTTAGACGAAAGTGCTTACCGGTCTTGGTGGCAGAAAAGAGTGGTCACCTCTACGAGCCTTTGCTAGCACGCTTCAAACATCTGTTCCAAAGCATCAAAACATAAATATTGTCAAGTCAACTAGCACCTTATACCTATGATTGATCTCAATTTGGGGGTGTGAATAGTCTGATAGAGCCTCAGCAATGGCCGCATCATTGTTGGAGAGACCTGCTAAATTTCAATGTGTTAAACTAAAGGACTTGGAGAAGATGGATAAAAACGCTGTTGTCTGGTGCTGGAATCTCGGCAAACTCTTCGCGATGTCTCTTAATCAAATGAAAAACAAGGTTAAAGTATAAAGAGAGCATTCCCGCCAAAATATCTAGGGCCCCGCCAAAAGGAGTCCTTTAATTTTAAATTTGAAGTAAAAAGGTATATGAGCACAAAACAGGGATATCCGCAGGTAGATCTCGCGAATATGCCATCCTTGTATCAACACGACAACCATAGGTTTCATTGGTGGCCGTTGGATTTCATCATTCGCGCTGTCCGTGTGGGTTCTTGGATCTTGGGCGCCATCGCTGCTGCGAGAATCTCCTGAGCGCCTCGCTGGGAGCTGAACGCCGCTCGCTCGCTGGCGCGCTCTCGATTCATCGCCGCGGCCGGCGCAATGGCGCCCGACGACGACGCCGGCTCTCCCAAATTGGCTGCGGCGAGGCGATCCGAGGTAGGTTTTCCATTCTCACGGTGCTGCGATCGCGCGGATTGTGAAGAGGCTTTGTGTAATGCAGGTCGCTGCGCGATTCTTGTCCGAGCGAGCCTCTATAATTTCCAGGAGGGCTGATGAACACGAGCAGCTCCTCAATAAGGTGCGTGTTTGGCTTTTTTTTTTTACTTTAAAAGAAAATAGAAAGAAATAAAATTTTCGACACTTAAGCGTTTGCGTGTTTGATTCCTCTAGGTGACTTACTGTATTGGAGTGTTTTGCTTTGGCACTGTGTGCTACGTGATGGGATCAAGTGAGTGTTCCTATTCTTTGGGAGAAAAAGTTTAGTATATAACTCTTTGGCATGATTGGTGGATCAGGGCCGCACGAGATTCCCTACCTGTACTGCCTGTTCTTCCTTGGGATCGCTCCACTGAGATGGATTTACTACAGAACGAGGAAGTGGCACTACTATCTTCTGGTAGAGTAAATCTTCTTGGTGCTCGAGTAAATCATGTTTACAAAACTTCGTTCATGGATTTGCAGGACTTCTGCTACTACGCGAATGTTATCTTCATGGCTATGCTTCTCGTCTTTCCAAACAACGAGAAGCTCTTCATGGTCTGCTTTTCTTTCTCTGAAGTAAGTGGTCTTTCACTTCATGCTCGTTTTCAAAGAACGTTCATTGCATCGATCTTTTCAGGGGCCCCTAGCTTGGGCATTGATTGTATGGAGGTGTAGCCTGGTGTTCAGCTCTATTGACAAGATCATCAGCGTTCTAATTCATTTGCTTCCCGGCAAGTTTCACAGTGTTCTCCTTCTTTTTCCACAGAAACAAGCTAACTTGCGACTATACGAGCAGGCACCGTGTTCTTCATAATTCGCTGGTGGGATCCAATTACGTATCCTCACCATTCCTTGGACGCAACGGGGCCTTGGCCGGCTTGGCCACTCGTTCACGACAACCGCGCCTTGTGGACTTGGCTCTTCTTCGTCCCACTCATCGCGTACAGCGTCTGGCAAGCACTCTACCTCCTCATCGTCAACGTGCTGCGCAAGCAAAGGCTGCTCAGAGATCCAGAAGTCATGACATCTTTCAGGTACTTCACAAGCTTTTAATCTCTTTCAAGTTATATAGATGATCTTGACAGGGAGCTATCTCGAAAGGCCGCGAGAGCAAACAACATATGGTGGTGGCTCAGTGGATTGCTGGGAGAACGCAACCGGGTTGTCATGTACGCGGCGATCCAAGCGGCGTTCACGGTGGCAACCATGGCGCTCACGGTACCGATGTTCAAGTCGTACCGCTTGCACGTACTCTTCGAGCTCTTCAAGGCCGCGGTGGCCGTCTGGAACGGAGGGAAGTGGCTGTTTGACGTGATGCCCAGGCAGATGGAGAAGAAGAAAACGGGCAAAGTTTATAGCAAAGCCAAAACCGAGAGCTCGCCAGAGAACCCGAGCAAGAACGTCATATCCATCCAAGAGGAGAGCTCGGGCGGCACTGCTCCACGGGGCTTGCTCTCCACCAATTGCAACGGGAGCGTCTCGAGCGTCTCGAGCGAAGAGAAGAAGGCGATTTGCTCGCTGTGCCAGCAGCTAAGCTCGAGAAAGTTTGAGCTCCAAAAGGCTGTGGAGGAGGCGACCTCTTCAGTGCGTGACTTGGGGCTAGAGCCAGCGTTGTTCTCGAGGATCAAGCCGACTGATGCGATCTCGTGTGCCAGCTAAGTCGAAGAAGCGAGGCTCTCACACAATGTACAGTAAATCATCAGCCATTTGTAAGTGGTGCTTGCGTATATCTTGCAAAAACAAGAAAAAAAAATTAAGCTTTGCACATTGTTCTAAAGAATAGTACTAAAGAATAGTACTACGAAGAATTACCAAAATCTGTACACTGGATCGTATAGAAAAAAGAAAAAGTATAAAAGAACCTGGAGGTCATTCGCGAATAACTCCAGAGACCCAGGGAACTACGACCGGGGCGTTTTGATGAGTTTGCCTGTACTCTTCGTGGTAGTGGCCCTTGAAGTTTAGCTTTGGTTCATCAGCCTGTCAAGATAATCGTTTGAGCGATCGATTGAAAGGAAAAAAAAAACAAGAAAGAAAAGCTGATCGCTACCTGTTTGAGCCAGCATTCCTGGTGTTTGTGCTCGTAGATATCAGGCGAGTAGCAGCCGTTCTCGGCAGCGCAAAACACCCAAACGTTGCACTTCATCTCGCCCGGCTTTGCGGCTTTGGCCTGGTTGAAACACGCTTGACAGCAATCGGCGGCGCTCTCCGTATGATGAGTCAGTCCCCACCGGACAGCAACACCATCGTAATCCGTGTGTGCCTCGGCGTGACACTCGGGTGGAACAATCCTTCCAGGGATGATCCCGTCCTCTACAAAAAAAAAACCGAGGAGAAAACGTGAGATCTACAGCGCTTCGCTTTGCGGTTTTTGCTCTTACCAACTTCGGCTCCAGTGACTGTTGGAAGGATTTCGCCGGTGTCACTGTCGGACACTGGTAAACTCGGGGGTTCGGTGTGAGTGTGTAGCCAACCCAGCTCCACCAGCTTGGACACCTCTTCTAAAATTGAAAAGAAAATGAGAGAACACGAAGTTAGAAATTCGTGCCTACCTTGTGCCAACTCCTGATTCATGTCACTTGTAGCATTAGTCTCAGCAGGCTGCTTGGCCTCTCGCGCACGAGCCGCTTCGAGTCTCTTGCGCCGCCATTCACTTAGAGCTGCCAAATCCAGCTTGAGTTGTCTAGCATAGTTTCTTATTTTATTTTTGTCGAGCTTCACACCTTGACTGGCAGTTTGATTGTTTGTTGATTGTATATCTCGCAATCTTTGGACGATGTCCATGGCGGCTTTCCTTCTGATAGCGCCGGGACCGCTGCTCTCTTGATCCGACTCAAGCTGGATCTCTTTCACCTTTACAAAGATAAAGAGAGACCGGAATTAAAATCTGGGTAGCCAAGAAAGGAAGAAAGGAAAGCAATCGTTCGTTCTCATACGTTACCCTGTCAATAAGCTCGTGAGGCTCAACCTTTCGGCGAATCTCGTGCGCCTCTTGAATTCGAAGAGCCTCCTGCGCGGAGAAGCCCAGCACTGCCACGCAGACAAGCGATCGCGTAAGAAAGAGAGGAACAAAAGAAAAAAAGAGAATCGAAACTCTCGGTTCACGGATCAAGCATCGACAGGCACGAATCACGCGAGGAATTCGGGCAAAAATCGCGACCGGAATGCGAAATATCGTCCCAGACCCAGGATTATGCGGTCCAGGCGCCAGAATCGGGCGATCTCAGTGACAAGTCGAGAATGTCGGGGCTAGAGCAACGATCCGAGAGCTTACCGTGGCGCCTACGCCATGGAATCCCGGACGAAGACCTCGACGAGGAGCTGAGGAGCACATCCAGGACATAGAACGCGGCGGCCACATTGAAGATGCAAACGATCACCGTCGCCTTCTTGTACGAGCAGCAGCATCGAGAGATCGCCATCGCCATAGGCTAAGCTCTTCCCCAAAATCGATGATAAATAGCTGGTTTAGCATTCGATTAGCTGGCAGATCAAGGACAAGTAACGCATTGTCATGCTTTCATAGCATAGTGGTAGTGCGTTCGCTTCGTAAGCGAAAGGTCGTGAGTTCGATCCTCACTGAGAGCAAATAATTTCTGGCTTTAAGTAACCTTTTGTTAAGTTCGGTTTAATAATATTTTTCCCACCAACTAGTGTTTGAAACTTCCCAAAGGAGATCGATTTTACGCAACACGATTTGCTCCACCGTTTTCTCGTCCCTCCCCTTGATTTCCTCCGGGAACTCGCTGGAGATTTAAGAAGCTAGCAACAACGGCAGCGAGCTGGGATGGATCGATCGAGGTAGAGGGCGACACGGGGACGATGAAGAACAAGCAGCAGGAGCTCTTCCTCGAAGATCCAATGCACAGGCTCCTGGAGGTCGAAGTGAACGGAGAGCACACTTTCGTCCTGGCACAAGTGAGTAGACACCAGTTAGATAGAATCCATCAAACATCCTAGCGTGAACAAACGAGCGATAGAAAACTTTGACTTACTTTGATCTCTCTTTGCTCTAGGATCCTCTGGTCAATAGATGTGGACGCCTCGCCAAGATCATCCGAGGAACAACGATTCTCACAGCTTGTCGCGTCAATGCCTTGCGTGTTGCCTTTCACGATCTTCCAGGAGGCCCGCAGGCTTTCGAGCTCGCAGCTCGGTTTTGCTACTGGCACTCGAGCGGATCTCCACGCGGTGGAGGCTTCCACATCACGGCTGCCAACGTCTCTCTCCTCCGCTGCATCGCCGAGTACATGGAAATGACAGAGGAGTTTAGTCCCAGGAATCTGATCAAAGAAACCGAGAACTTCTTACAGAATTTGGTGTTCTGGAGCTGGAACGAGGTGCTGCTCATCCTCCGGAGCTGCGAGCCCGTGCTGCCTTACGCGGAGAAGACGCACATCGTCCACAGGTGCGTCGAGTCCCTGGCCTGGAAAGCCTCCACCATCAGCTCCACTTGCCAGAGTCCGACGAGCTCCACCTCTCCGGATTCATCTTCAAACCAGAGCAGCAGCGCCAACAACAAACGCCTCTCGAGAACTTGGTGGTTCGACGACGTCTGCTCGCTCTCCATGTATCTCATGGAGAGAATTGTCAAGGCGATGATCTCCAACAACATGGACAACCGGATCCTGGCCAGGTTCTTGGTTCACTACGTCCAGACCGCGCTCCCAACGCTCGGCTACCATTCCCACCACCAGAGGTCGACCGCTTCCACCACCAGGGACGAGCACATCCTCCAAAAGTACACGCAAAAGGTCCAGCGTGAGCTTCTGGAGACGGTCATCGCACTGCTGGGACACTTAGATCACGGCTCGGCTCCCTGCTCTTCTCTGTTTGGATTGCTACGAGTTACTTCGGCTCTCAACTCGGGACGTTCGTGCCGGAAGCAGCTGGAGAAGATGATCGGCCACCAGCTGGACAAAGCTTCCCTGGACGACATCGTCATTCCACTGCGGCCGACTGGAAGTGGCTCTCTCTACGACGTTGATCTCGTCCTGAGGCTGATTGACAGGTTCCTGAGCGATCAAGACATCTTCTCGGAGATGACTTTCCCAACTCCAATCAACGGTCCCATCATGGCTTCTCAGCCACCGTCAGGAACGTCCTTCCGTAGGGCCCTGACAAAGTTCGAGCACTCGCTGACAAAAGTTGCGGATCTGATTGATAAATACCTGGTGGAGATCGCAGCGGATCCACAGCTTAAGCCTTTCAAGTTCAAGTCAGTGGCCAAAGCACTGCCGGACTCGGCCAGGCTCATGCACGACGGGCTCTACCGAGCTTTGGATTTGTATCTGCAGGTAAGTGTTCTTCTTTCCTGTTGCAAACTCACGTTAGAAGAAGAGACTTTGCAACTAAAAGCTCGCTCATCCATGGAACGTTTGTTGCATGGATCAGGCACATCCAGCAGTCTCGGAGTCCGAAACCATGGAACTTTGCAAGGTGGTGAATTACCAGAAGCTGTCGTTCGAGGGATGCAAGCATGCTGCGCAAAACCCACGGTTCCCAGCACGACTGGCACTCCAGATTCTTCTTCTCCAGCAAGCCAAGCTCAGAGACACCATCGATCACTGCTTCTTCAAGGAAGGACTGAGAGTGAGTGACAGCTCGAGATACAAAGAAGCACCAGTACCTGCGGTGAATCATCCTTCCGCCGCTCCTAGCGCTGTCGATCAGCCATCGCCCGAGTTTGGACTGATCATCCGCCAAAACGAAGAGCTCAAGTCGGATATCAACAAGATGCAGGCCAAGGTGTCGGAGCTGGAGAAGCTTTGCAAGAGGATGAGGTCGGACATGTCTTCCAGGAGAACTAGGCGGCTTCTCTGTTGATCGCAAAGAATTTTTCTTCTTTTGTATTCCTTCGAAGTTCCTGCTCAAAAGAAACTCACGCCCTGCAAGAGAAATCTATCAGCAGGGGGAGATTATATAGCGATTTACCTCTCATTCGTGAAAATGCGGCCACTAGAGATCCAAGCCCATTGTCATCCAAGAAATTACTCAGAGAAAAAACTTGCGTACGGAATTGCTCTAGCAAAGGAGATCTTAGAGCTCTCTTACCTCGGCTAGCTCGGCAAACTCTAGCTCGGTAGCGCTAGATTGTCCTCCACTCTAGAGCCCAAGAACCCTAGAATACGAAGAGTCCTTGTAATCTGGCCAAATGCATGGGAGAGATAGATAACCTAGCCTTGCCAAGCTGTCCGCCAGATTGGCCAGCCGCACACGTGGCAACTTTCCGCTAAAACTCCCTCCAAAACCTCCTCTAGCCAAATACAGCCAGCTCTCCTACAATATAGCCAGCGACAATATATCTCTCTCAATGTGCCAGCGCTCTTGCTCTTAGGGTTCTTCGTGAATTCCAATCGCCTGCATTCCACGAATCCTTCCTCTAGGCGCTGGAATTCTCGACGTGCTCCAGATTTCGTGGATTGCCGGCGCGGCCTTGTGCATGGATCATTCAGCCCTAGCTAGAATCCGGAATTCGACGAGAATGGAGCAGCGGGATAGCAAATTCTCGCCAAGAGCTCGTCTTTGTTGAATCGATTCAATCGCTGAAAAGCTTTCTCTGGCCTCTTCTTTCTTTCTCCTCTCTAGAATCCTTCCTTGAATCTTTTCCTTCTCCTCTTTGTTAGTTCTCTCCATTGAGCGCCATGGCTGCAATGACCGAAAGCGAATTGTCGATGCTAAGCAGCCAGTACGCGCTGGAGCCGCTCACATTTTTAGACAACAATCACTCCATGATCGAATTGGACGATCTCGTCTTCCTGGTAGGAAATCCTTTCGGATTTTTAGTCTAGGCTTCTTCGTGCATGCATGCCCTCTTTCTTCCTCCCCGTTCTTGACGATCTCTGTGCCGGCTTGCTCGCAGGAGAACGATCTCGACAACGATCTTGACGGCATTGCGGGCACAAATTTCCAAGGCACCGACATCCTGGGCGCGTTGCCACAGCATTACAATGGCGCCCACATCCAAGACGAGAGTAAGCAGGCAATCTCCTCCTCATCGCCCACCCGGAAGCCTTCCTTCTCTGCCGTCTCCGAGGAGCTCAATTCGCTCTCGCTGGACCAGCTGATTGCGGCGACGCCGCTCTCCAACAAGAGGATCTCCTCGTCGCCGCTGGCCTCGCCCAAGAAGCAGCATCAGATTGGCAAGGAATTGCCTCCGGTGGTGGTGGATTCCAAGGATGGCATCCTCAGGAACAGTGGAAGTGGCAAAGCCGGCCTCTACGAGTCGCCATTGGGGGGCTCTCTCGTCTATGGGGGAATTGGCGGCCATGGCGGCGACGTTTCCAGGCGGCCTTATGTGATGCAAAGGAGCTATAGCAGCCACGCTCTTGGACAACTTCCCAGCGTAAAATCTTTCACGATATAGCTTTCCTTTGCTCACGAGACTTTTTTCTTTCTTCTTTGTTCTAGATTTCCTCAGCGACGCCAGGCGCAGCGACTAATGGAACTTCCGCTTTGGACTCGACCATGCAAGGCCTCCACGCTTGCTCGGGCTCCATTGTTCCATCTCTTTCGCAGCTCCTCGAAGTCAAGGAAGGGGATGGAATTGAGATCGATGTGATGAGGAGGAGCCCCAGCTCCGGCTGCTTCTCGCCTTGCAGTAACAGCATGAGGAGAGTTTGCAGCACCGGTGACATCCAGGTACGAAATTTTCATTACCAGTCTCTTGGGCTTTTGTTTCTCGTTTTTTTTTTCTTCTTCTTTTGTTGCTTGTTTTTCTGTTTGCTCGTTGCAGCTTTCGAGTGATTTTAACTTAGCAGGCCAATCTAGAAAAGTTTTTTCAAACAGTCCTTGCACTGTGATGCTGCATTTCGCATTCTTTTTCGTCTGATGGGTGTCTTTATCGGCCTGATTCTCTGCTGATTATGTGGACATATAATATTGCATCGTCTTTCCGTATGCTCTTTCGTTTTCTTTCGTCGTCTGTCCTTACTTTGCCGAGTTAAAATAGGCTAGGTGGCTAATGCGACTGCTTCCTCCTGCATCAGAGAATGAACACTTCCTTGCAATCCGAAGGCCAGGACGAATGCGGTTTTAAAATTGGACGATACAGTCTCGCCGAGCGCAGGGAGCGGATTCACAGATACCGCCAGAAGCGATCCGAGCGGAACTTTAACAAGAAAATCAAGGTCAGTGGAGTTTCCATTCACGCATAATTCGCTCGCTTTCGTGCTGCCGGGCCTCGATATTTAATACGTGGTTTGTCTTCACTGTGGCAGTATGCGTGCCGAAAGACGCTTGCGGACAGCCGCCCTCGTGTCCGCGGCCGGTTTGCCAAAAACGAAGACGTGGTTGATTCATCCGTCGCGTCGTCGGGGGCGTCGGGCTCAGCCAGGGCAAGCAAGATGAGAGCTGGCGGCGAATATGAAGATGAGGTAAGCAATTCCAATTCCATTCCAAGCTCTCTTTTTCTTCTCTTTTTCTTCCTCTCTAAAGTTCTAAAGCTCCCAGCTCTGAGAGGGAGAGAATCCAAGTGTTCATGTTTGCTTCTTTTTGTTTTATCTTTGTTCCCCGCTTTTGGAAACTTTATTCCTAGGAACGGGCTTCCTCGCCTTCCTTCCGTGTTGGACTGAAACTTGGGTGTGGCGGATTTTGTTCCAGGTTGATGCTCTTCTGGAAGATGATGAGGGCCTGCTGATTGATCGGCAGTCGTCTGGAGAGCTTTCGGAGTGCTGGGGATTGGGAGGAGGCGGAGGAGGAATCGGAATCGCGAGGTAAATCTTCTTCGCCGCCACCTCTTCCATTACGGCCAGGTGAAAAGCAGAGGGAAAAACAAAAACTCTTTGAAGAAAACTTCTTTCGTTCGTTGGCGCGATTTCTTTTTCCCCGTAATTCATGTTTCATGATGCTGGCGGAAAAGGAAAAACAAGGAAAGAAAAACTGGAAGATCTCGCGTCCGTACGGAAGATCTCCAGGCTCGGTTTCTCTGTACAGCCAAGTTCTAAGAAAACATGAAGACTTCGAAGATCTTTGGATATTCGACTATAGAACCCGAAGGGTATTCATTGTCCCTTCCATTATATCAGACCATGGTTCCTTCAATGATGGAGTGGTGATTAGTTTATTAAAACCATGAGCTTCACATGCACAGTGCGGGGGTGTGTGGAAGCTTACGTTTTTGTTTGTTGTTTTCTATTTGGGCTGTGGAAGCTTATGTTTTGCTTGTTATTTTCTATTTGGGCGGGCACCGTTGGATCGCGAATGACATCACAATGTCGTAGCTCCTGCGACGAAACGAATAGAAAAATATTTAATATAGTGGTAAACAAAGAGCCGATCGTTGCCTTTAGAGTTGATACCTGACCGAATGGAAGAAAATTTAAAGGGACCTTGTAGCCAGCCTGAGCGATGGACGAACTAAAGAAACCACGAAAAAGAGAGATATTGGTGCCTGCACCTTGGGAGAATCTACGCAAAAAAAAAGAGGAAAAAAGAAAAACTAGTATGATCAGCAGTGGTACGCACCTGATTGCCGTGATTCTTTGATATCATGTAGCATTGGCGTCCATGTCGCTGGCCTTGAGCTTGTAAAGGTAGTGCGAGACGATCCATTGTTGGCCATTGTCGAAGGCAAACAGCTCCGCTACTGCTATGAAGAATGTTCTCCAGAAGGCGAGCCACTTAGTGGTGGCGTCGCTTTCGCCATAGGCTTTAGCAAAGATGGGGCGAATCGAGCTCAGGTTCTGGTCCATTCGCTTTAGCCAGGCCTCACTGCATTGGAATGAGTGAGAGCTCGAAGTTAGTAGCTTCCTTGGAGGTAGCTATGAGAACATAAAACACGCAGGAGAGGAAAAGTAAAAGGAAAGGAGAGCGAGAAAACCGTGCCTGGTTCGAGCATAATGAGTTCCGCTGAGGCGCCAATGATGTAGAATCGAGACATCCTCCTGGAGTAGCAAAACATGGAAGACAGAAGAATTGAGTTTTGGAGACTGTTTTTGCAAATGCGAGAGCTTTTGCTTTTGTTTTACTTGAAAGTAAAGGAGCAATGGATCTGCGGGCATGGTTCCACCTGTGAAGAAGGACCTTGCCATCCAGTCGTCGTCTCCAGTGTCCTTCATTTGAATGACGTTAGAAATAATTCAAAGAAGAAAACAAAACAGTGTTTCTACCTCGAAATGGTAAGCGTGGTTCTTGTGGCAAAAAATGTGAACGAAGAGAAGACAATCTGGCTTCATCCATGATGCGATGTTTTTGAGAAGCTTTTGATAATTCTTCATGTGCTGATCCATACAGACAGAGGAGAAACGTCAGAGAAAAGTAGCATAAGGAGTTAAAGTGTCAGACCTCAAACATTTCTATCGAGAGGATCCGGTCGAATTTCTCTGGCGCCTGGAAGTCGTTTATATCCGAAACGATAACCTTCACGTTAGACAGTCCTCGCTTGCTGTTTTGAGATAAGGGAGAGTTACACGAAAGTCACAAGGTTTGCTTTCACTTACCTGCATTCTCCTTCAATGAACTCTCTCTGTGTCGCAGAATTCGAAACGCTGGTGATTCGACTGGCAGGATATTTTTCAGCGATGTATAAGGATAGCGATCCCCATCCACATCCAAGGTCCAACACCACTTGCCCGTCCTTAAGTTGTGCTCTTTCACAGTAAAGCTCCAACATGCCCTCCTCAGCTTGATCGAGCGTGTACGAATCTTCGCAAAAGTACGCGCAGCTAAAACCGAAAGAAAACTTGTCATGACTGAAAAGAACAAGGAAGAAAGAAAAAACAAAGACAAAAATCTCAACCTGTATTTGAGGTGCTTTCCAAGCACTAGCTTGTAAAACTCGGTGGGAACTTGATAGTGCTGAGAATTCGCAGCGTCGGTGTGGATGGCGATTGGCATCTGTTTGAGAGCTGCAAGAAAAAACTTTTAGAACTCCTAGAAGCTCAAGAAAGAACAAAAATGCGAAGAAACCACCGAGCTTGAAATTTCGAAAAAATAAACAAAGAAAAAAAAAAAGTTACGTACACTTGGCGAAATTCATGAGCTCGTCTAACTCCTCCTCTACGCTATGCCGTCGCAATTCCCGCAAGCGCGACGCGAGCAGCATTCTCGTCACCCTGCGCAGCACAAAGTCGGGCACGAGATTGGCCTCCATGGCGGACAACCCCGCCCTCAACACAGATTCATAGAGAAATCCCTTGCTCGATCGAGCATTCGGCGCCATAGCCGCGCTACTCAATCGATTGGAGCAAGCAAACCGGCAAGGCAAGCAGCTACCAAACGAAGGGTATAGAATTTAATAAACGTACCGATCTTTGACGAGATTTTCTTACCTGCCAGTTGCAGCAGTAGATCGATCGATCGCTCCCGGTTCTTCGGGATTTATGGAAGAATTTTCTCAACCCTATCTATCGCCTCCCTCTATCTTAAGCTTTGAGTGAGCGCGGGAATCTCAAACCGATAACTTTTAATGCGCGCTTTCTATTCCCAGGCACCAGTGGCAGCATTTCGAACAACCATGGAGTTTATCCACAAACGAGGCCCTGCCACGTGTAGCAGTGGATGCCATCCACGTGTCACCGGCCGGCGTATATATAAACGGGTAACAGCTAACGAGGGATTTAGGGTTCTTGCGGGTTTTCTCCTAGGTCTTGGCTGGATTGATCCGTGCGGAGCTTGCCCGTTGCCGTGTAAGCTAGGATTCTGCTAGATCGTCTTGCTCTTCGTCGTCTCTGCTGTTTCCCTGTGGTCTCTGGGTGAAATTCTGGAAATCTTTCTCGGGAGCGATGTCTCTTCGTCTCTTCTACTCAATGTTCTTCATCATCTGTACCTGCCTGTGCGTCAAGTTCTTGCATTTCGCGGTGAGGCTTGTCCACTGATCGGGAAATCTCGATTTTGTCACGCCGCCGCGGCTTTTGAGGTTCTTTTGCTTCCTGTGCCTTCGATTAGCTTTCGAGATTTCTTGCTAATAGTGTGTGTATGCATGGCATTTAGATTCGCTGCCGCTGCGTCTGCGGCTCTGGTGCTCGCAACCGCGATCTTCTTCGCTAGAATGAGGGATAACGACGAAAGTGGTGGTGCTGTCAAGGGGTCTCCCAGGCTCCCAACGAGTGTTCTTCCTCGTCACTACAATCTCCGCCTCAAGCCCGACCTCCAGGCGTGCGTCTTTGATGGGGATCTCTCGGTGGATGTGGAGGTTGTGGAGGGTGTGGACGAGATCATCATCAATGCTGCCGATTTGAAGGTTCGCGATGGATCGGTCTCGTTCCGGCCAACTGGTTCCAGTCAGGTACTATGAGGATGGTGATGGTGGTTAAACCCCCGTCCAGCTCTGGTGGCTTGTCTTGTGCCTTGTATTTCTTACAAGAATAAACTTCTGGCCTGGCTTCTTGTTTTCGATCGCTTGGACCTTGAAACCTCGACGATGTGTATGATTATCGTTTGGTTCCTTGGTTCTTTCTTTTCGATTTTGTTCGTGGTTTTGACTGGGTTTCTCGTTGCCTTTCAGGTGTTGAAACCGGCAACGCTTGATCTAGTAACCGACCATGAGATCCTGGTTATGAAATTCAAGGAAGCCTTACCCGTTGGACAGGGAACGTTGTCCATGAGCTTCGAAGGAACCTTGAACGATCAGATGAAAGGTTTCTATCGCAGCTCGTACAGTGTTGGTGACGAGAAGAGAAACATGGCTGTGACACAGTTCGAGCCTGCTGACGCTCGTAGGTGTTTCCCGTCCTGGGACGAGCCGTCTTTCAAGGTAGATTTTTTTTCAGCTCTGGTGCTTATGTTTTTTAGTTTTCGTCTTTGTTTCATAGGCTACTTTCAAGATTGTTATTGAAGCTCCGGCAGATCGCGTGGTGTTGTCAAACATGCCCGTCGAAAGCGAGAAAGTGTCGGGGGATTCTAAAGTTGTAGAGTTTCAAGTAACTCCGATTATGTCTACTTACTTGGTAGCTGTTGTCGTTGGAGAGCTGAGCTATCTAGAAGGGACTACTAGAGATGGTATGCCTTTTCGTATGTTGTTAGCATGCATTTAACTCGGTCTTCCAGGCACGAGTGTTCGTGTTTATACTTTGCCAGGAAAAGCTGAACTAGGGAAATTTGCGCTCGGTGTGGCTGTGGAAACACTTCCTTTTTATACGGAGTACGCTCAAAACAAATTGTATATGTTCGTTGATCTTGATTTTACTTCAGATACTTCGAGACTCCGTATCCCCTTCCTAAAATGGATATGGTGGCTATTCCTGACTTCGCAGCTGGAGCAATGGAAAACTATGGCCTTGTTACTTACCGTGAGACTGCTCTTCTCTTTGATGAGAAGCATTCGGCTGCCGCGAACAAGCAACGAGTATTACATGCTAGTTCATTGTTTGGTGTTTTTACCGAGTGTTGTGCATTTTCAGGTTGCTGTTGTTGTCACTCACGAGCTTGCTCATCAGTGGTTCGGAAATCTTGTTACAATGGAATGGTGGACGCATCTTTGGCTAAATGAAGGTTTTGCAACCTGGGTAAGCTGGTTGCTTAGAGAATAAATTTAACTTCTAGAATGGGAAATGTTTTGCAGGTTAGTTACTTGGCAGCAGATTACTTATTTCCGGAATGGAAAGTCTGGACTCAATTCAACGAGCTGACTGTTGACGCTTATAGACTGGACGGCCTTGTTGAATCCCATCCAATTGAGGTTGAAGTTGGTCACGTTCGTGAGATCGACGAGATTTTTGACGCTATCAGCTACAAAAAGGGTGCATCTATCATTCGTATGCTGCAAACTTACCTTGGTGCTAAGACTTTTCAGGTAGAGTGGTTTACCAGATTGCTTAAAATACTGAATTTTTCTTTCAGAAAGGGCTTGCATCGTATATCAAAAAGTTTGCTTATAGGAATGCTGCAACAGAGGATCTGTGGGATTCTCTTTCATCAGAGTCAGGACAACCGGTTAAAGAGCTGATGAATTCCTGGACAAAACAGAAGGGTTACCCTGTTTTGGCTGTCAAGCTAGTTGGCGATGCTCTTGAGCTTCATCAGGTAAAGTCAGCTCTCCCTTTCCAATATTAATCTTTTTCGTGCGCAGTCCCAGTTTCTATCAACCGGACAACCAGGCTTTGGTGAATGGGTCATACCCCTTACCTTGTGTTGCAACTCATATGATTCGTACAAAACTTCGTTGGTCCGAGGCACATCCGCTCGAATTCCGATATCTCATGAAGTGGACACAAAATCCAAAGGGAAGTGGATAAAACTCAACGTCGGCCAAACAGGCTTCTACAGAGTCCAGTATGACGATCATCTAGCTGCAAGTCTTCGGTCTGCAATATCTGGAGGATATCTCCAGCCTGACGATAGATTTGGTAAATTTTGCTTATTGCTTCGGATTGTGTGCTGAAATTCTCTCTTTCAGGTGTTCTGGATGACATTTACGCTTTGTGTAAAGCTTGTCGAGAGCCAATGCGAGTGTTACTGTCTTTGATGGAAGCTTACAGCGCTGAGGCTGATCCAGCTGTCCTGGGCCACCTTATTACAGTAAGGGATCGTTGTTTATTGTCTGGAACTGAAAATAATCGTCACAGGTGTCGAGAGGTGTGTCATGGATTTTGGCCGATGCTATTCCTGCTGTTGCTGAAGATACAAAAGGCTTCCTCTCAAGACTGCTTCTCGCTCCAGCCAAGTAACGAGCCGCTTTCAAAAATAATATTCTATACCTGTGCTTATTTTGCTCAGAAACGTTGGATGGGACGCTGTTCCCGGAGAAAGTGACCTCGTCTCTATGCTCCGAGGGGATCTTATGTTGGCTCTTGTGCTTTTTGGCCATGAACCAACTGTCATCGAAGCCAAAGAGCGTTTTTACGAGTTTTTGAAGGATAGAAATACTTCGAGGCTACCTGCAGACATAAGAAAGGTAAGTGTTGCCGACTTTTACTGGCGTTTTTTAATCCTCTGTTGCGTTGCAGGCTGCATACTCGGCTGTAATGCGAAGCGTAACCGCTGCCGACAAATCTGGATATGATGCATTGCTCCAGATCTACAGGGAAACAGACCTGGGCCAGGAACGAACACGGATTCTATGTACTGTTTTTCTCTGGCACGACTCCGGTTTTACTAACATCTCCCGTTTGCAGCATGCCTTGCAGCGTCAAGTGATACTGAAGTCGTTCGGGAAGCATTGAACTTGATACTTACGGACGAAGTAAGCTAGATACCAGTTTTCATTGTTCGCTTCACAAGCAAACTCGCATTTTTGCACGCAGGTTCGTAACCAGGATGCGTTTTTCGTACTCGGTGGAGTTCGCAGGGAAGGCCGCGAGACTGCCTGGTCTTGGCTAAAGGTACAAACGCTACATGCTTGCTAGACCATAACCGTGTAAGCAGGAAAACTGGAGCCTTCTCCGCAGTCGATGGGGTGACAGCGGATTTCTCATCAGTCGCTTCGTGACCACCACAACTTCGGTAATCTCAGTGATCTCGAACTTCGTTGTGAAAATTCTCGTTCTTCTTTCTTTGCCCAGTTTTCGAGCCAGGAAAAGGCCGACGAGATTGAAGAGTTTTTCCGCCAGCATGGGATGCTGGCGATCGAGCGAACAGTGAGCCAGTGCGTGGAGAGAGTCCGGATCAACGCTCGCTGGGTGGAATTCATTCGCGAGGAGGAAGGTTTCAAAGAGCTCATCTCGGAGCTTGCACTTCCATAACTGCCACGTGTTTTTGCCACGTAGGCGTGTAGTGCCTGACGTGTTAGTTCTTGTACCAACAACACTGCAAGTCGCTTTGCAGACCTGTGATTCATAATTTTCATAAACGATCCAAAGCAACAGCACCGCCTAAACTCCCTAAACTCCCAACCGACGCTCTTTAGGGACCAAACTATAAATGCCACGTTGTATATGATATTTTGTACATGAAAAGCTATGATTTAACCTGGATTCCAGCAGCCCCAAAGTCCGCGCATCGACAACCAGGTTTTGCGGATCGTAGTTTAACATTAGTTCTAAACATTTAACATTAGTTTTATTAACCATTTTATTATTATTTTATATTTTAAATTTGATTTTTCTAGATTATAGAATATTATTTAATCAGTTTTTAAATTTGAGTTTGATAGCTAATGTTTAGCTATAAATGTGACTATTTTTGGAATACTAAATAATGAAACTCAAATGACATTTTTCAACAAAGTAGTTGCAATAATTCAAAGAAGGATTTTGTTAAGCACAAGGATTTATCATCAAATTATAAGAATGAAAAGGACAAATAGGATTGGAATTTTTTTTTAAATTATAGAATTTAGGATAAATAATCCTTTCATGAAATTATCTAGTTTTTATTTAATTAATTAAGAATTGTACCATATAACTGCATTTTATAGCAATATGTTAAATATATAAATTTATAGATATAATGTAAATTGTTAATTTTTTTTTTATAATGTAAAATAATTAAAATAATAAATAAGTAAATGCTAAGGGGGAATCAATAAGTACTTAATTGTGGTAGA